ATAAATGATATAATAAACCTAATAATGCTCATAAACAGCTTCCATGCATAATATCATCAGTGAGTGATGCTCAGAAATATAATCAAGCTGTCATCTCATATGATGTTTTGCTCAATGTTTCCATGAGTCTAGGCACACTGTGCTGTACTGTGAGAGCAGAAATAACCTTCGCAAACATGCCTGTGGATTGGTGGTATAAGCAGTTGTTGGCTGTGAGATTGTGATTTTCCATAACAGCAAAGATTTATTAGCAGTAGTGCTGCATGAGCCGCTGGCAATAACAGTAACACAGATCCATTGGTTCTTCGGCCGCTGCTTCATGGCATCTGGCCCTCAAAGCCTTATGGGATACTGGAGAGAGTGATGTCATGTGGAGGGGTCCTAGCTGATTTTTATGTTCCCACATTAAATGACAAATATGACAGAAAATTGTTTGGAATAATAATTTTTTTGTTTAATGTTTTTGAAAGTAATCTCATGCTCACCATTCAGGGCTGCATTTATTTGATCAAAAATATATTGTGAAATATTATTACAATTCAAAATAACTCATTTTCTGTTTAAATATATTTTTAAATGTAATTTATTCCTTTGATGTCAAAGCTAAATTTTCAGCATCATTACTCCAGTCTTCAGTGTCACATGATCCTTCAGAAATCTTTCTATTTTTGAGATTTGCTGCTCAATAAACTCTTCTTATTATTATCAATGTTGAAATGCTGTTTTTGCTGCTTAATATTGTTGTGGAAACTGTGATACACTACTGTTCAAAAGTTTGGGCAAAGTAGTTTTTTTTTTTTTTTAAGAAATTAGTACTTTTATTTATCAAGGACGCATTAAATTGATTAACGGTAAAGATATTTGTAATGTTACAAAATATTTCTATTTCAAATAAATGTTCTTTTGAACTTTCTATTCATCAAATAATTCTGACAAAAATGTAGCATGGTTTCCAGAAGAAGAAAAAAACAGCAGCACAACTTATTATTTATATTATTAATAGCACCAAATTAGCATATTTTAATGATAACAATTCACCAATACAACAAATATGAATTGTCTTTCAGTTGCAATGCACAAACCATTTTGAATGTTTAGCCTTTCATATTATATACTTTCTGTTGCATTTATGGGATAAAAAATAGTTGTAAAATCTAGCTGTGACTGGTTTAACTGCAGCCACTGTGGTGGATGATATTTTAGTGTCATCGTAAAACACATAAAAGTCAAGTTGTCGAGTCTGTCAACAAAGTACAGAAGCTCAAAGAGCATTTTTAACATACGTTGCATGCTGGTTAGTTTAAAGCACTAGAGCAGTCCACCTGTGCTCGTCTGTGTTGCACCTCTGAGTGGCATTTATTAGATATATCAGACAATTAGAGCCTCGTATTGGTGCAGTGCAGTGTGATAACTTCATTTCCATTTCAGCAGGTGTCAAAGTTCCAGGAACTGACACCGTATCGGTTGGCGTTGTTGCTCCAGTGGCCTCCAAAAAAGTATTCAGACACTTAAAATGTCTGAACCTGATCGCATGACTTAAGAGAACACGACACTTTTATTTATCATTTTTCTTCAACTCCTAATGTTTTGAGGGGTTTTAGTGAATGAATGAAGTCAGTTTTCCTCAAGTTCAGACAGGGACACTGTTATTTTAGTTTTATTATAGTTTTTTTTTTTATATATTATTTTATAGCTTTTATTTTTATATTTTTAGTTTTCATGTTATTTAGAATTTTAGTTATTTCATTTTGTGCTTTTGTCATTTTTTTCAATTTTAATTTTAGATATTGCTAGGCTATTTAAATATTGGTTCAATTTATTTGTATTTCAGTTTTAGTTTTAGGTTTAGGCACATATAAATGTCAGGAAACACTATTCCTGGCTGCGTGTTAGTATGGTTTACTGGATCTTTGCTAAGTTGTAAGGAACACTATATCGAGTCCAACCTTCAATTTAAACTGATAATCGTTTGTTTTACTCATGTTTTCTCATGCATGGACGTCACTTTCCCGCCAGAACACACTCCCTCAGCCGGACTGAGTGGCAAAAGAGCTGCTGAATGACTGGATTTAATAGAGAAACTGTGAAAACATGAGTAAAACAAATGATCATCAGTTTAAATTAAAGGTTGGACTTACAACTTAGCAAAGTGATCCATACTGACATGCAACCTGTAGGAAATGTGTTTTATGACATTTATATGTGCCTGATTTTGACGCCGGGGAAATACATTAAGCAAATTTGCCTGTGAACGCTTAATATAAATATATATATATAGGTAGGTCTAAATCCGGTCACTTATAGGCTATCAATGTTATATATATCATCATATCGTCCAGCCCTTAAACTACTTTTTGTTAGTGTTTATTGTAAACATCAAATTAGGCAGAATATATGATGCTAAATATGTAATTGATGAGTTGTTAATACAATATATAACAAAACAATATATAGGATATGATTTTACCACAAATCTCAACGTATTGAGACAAAATGATAACTGCAAATCCATGTTTCGCTGCCTGGAGTTCAGTTGTTTCTGGGAAATCCATTTGCTTCTCTTTTCTGTAGCTTTCAGTCTGTAAAAAGATGTAAAAATTTACCTCAGATTTCTTTGTCAAATCTGTTTGTACAGTCAATCTCAAAGCTTTTTCCCGTTTTAGATGTGTTTTGTGTGTTTATCGCGGCATTCACACTGAAAACTAATGCTGCCACTCAGTCTTTTTGCCACTCAGTGAGCGTAACCGCAGTCACTTCGGCTGACGGTGACGCCACGCGCATACGCTCTATAAGAAGGTTGATGTGTAACTTTTAAAAAAAATTATGAGGGGGAGGGTAGTAGTGTTGACCCGAGGTATGTATCATGTACCATGACCCGAGGTATGCGTTTAAGGGCTAATTTTCTTTTAGTTTAAGTCTTTCAACTTTATTTCAGCTTTATTTCAATGAACATAAATGTTTCAGTTCGCGATAATAACCCTGCACAGGAGTCCACTTATTAATTGACAACCATAAAGTGTCCGTTTCCACAAAGTGACCAGCGAAACGGCTGTTATTGCCAGACGCTTTGTAAGAAGAATCTGGCTTAAAGTAACAACCGAAACAGATTATGAGTCATTGCTGAGGAGTCAAGCCTCAATGAAAGCTGTTAAACCCTTTACCCCATGATGGGCTTTTGGCTGCTGTAGAGTATTTAGTAATGAAGGTCTTTGATTGGACCAGCTCATAGGGACTGCGGTAACATTATCCCGGTTAGTGTAACGCTCGAAATATGCTGCAAAGCAAAGGTTCAGAAGTGCTGTGTTCAAATCCCCAGCGTGACGACACCCCACCGGGACAGTTTCTCTAGAGCTGGGCCTAAAACAAACACCAGCCCAGAATCCATCAATACCACACCAGCTGCAACAGATGCCAGGAGGTCTCTGAATGCTGAACAGAGAAGCTTGTAGTGCTCTCTGTGTTTGTATGTACTGTAATAAATTACTGGGGTTACAAGCAAAGGCCATCAGTGACTTGGAAGGGGTTTCAAAGCACAGTTTGCAACAACAACAAAAAAGGTTTTAAAGGACGGTTGGGGAGGTGCTTGTTTGTCAATCATATTTCAAGGGTAAATAACTATACCTCACTCAGGGAACTTTATTTTTAAACTGAATTGCTTTTAAAGCTAATTATCTGTTTTCTTTCTTTCATCAAGTAGTCTAGAGCTCTCTGCTCAAGCTCATGCATTATGAAAAGCACATCAGATCTGTTTTTTTTTTTTTTAATCATGCTAGAAGTAAATCAATACTTAAGTGGTTTGACATTTAAGGGCAGTTTTATGTTCGTTTTTAGTGCAAATGTACATAAAAATAATAAAGTTAAATGTTTTAAAAGCAACAGTCATATCTGATATTATGTTGCCTTTACACAGGAAATGTTTGGCATAAAGCTTTGAAATTTTGTCTCCATCTTTGACATAAGCAGCCATTATTGAATTTTATAATTAAGTACAAGTAAACTAAAAAGGTTAGTTAATACACAACATTCTCAAACACTAGATTTATCCTTAGGACAGGCTTTAATAGTGACATGGGTCTCATCATAAGCACACAGCAAACAAAACAAACAGGTTGATATGAAATCTATACACATTTTATACAAATATATACTGTAATAGATATTTCAAGAAACATGTTTAAAATCTACCGCTCATCTACACTACATTTAATGTCTGGTTGTCTTTGTGTTCTTTATTCACTGGACCCTCATTTATGCTAGAAGCAAAACTGATTGGCAAATCATAAAATAATACAATATGGATCATTCCTGAAAGTGTCTGTAAATTGTGTGTGGAGGTAGAGGTTTGAATTGTGCGTGTTCATACCTGCATCAGAGATAAAAGGGGAGGAGACGGTCCACTCATATAGAAATAAATGGGATAATTGTAACGCTCAATAGTCAATATGGCAGCTGTTGTCCTCGGTTAAAAGTGTCACATTTTTGAGAGATGCACTGTTTGTTTACTCATGTATGTGCATGGACCAGCCTGAAAAATAATTAATGTGTAATTTAAGCTGATTTGAAGCAAGATTTATGATGGCATTGTTGTCAGATTTTGTCCCTGATACTATTTAAATAACATTGACAAAAAGTTTTGGAAATTTTGAACAAGATGTCGTCTTGTGTCAGTGTCGTTTATTGAGCGTTACAATTATCCCTGCTTCCTCTGCCCTTACTATTGGTATAAAAATAGTTTTTTTTTTTACAATAATAAAGATTTCAAGAACATTTTACTACAATTTCACATAAATCGCATCTAACCATGTGCGAATCAGATCTTGTAGAAAAGTGTTTTGTTACAAAGGCTTTCTAAGGTCAAATAAACCTACAGTATACATTACAAGTATTATGTTATAGCTTGAATCCTCGTATACACATTTACTTTTATATAGACAATTAATTATTAATTGCTGTTAAAGCAGCCTAAATTGTATTTAATACGCAATAATTTACTTATTTACTTCGGAGAAGCAATATCTATATCAACACCTCTAATGATGTCAATTCAGCCCACCAATCATCTGTCTGCATTGCAATTAGCACCGCATTCTGATTGCTAATTTGTCACATAACACCATCACTGTTCATCACTGTGGCTGCTTCTGCAAGGGCTCGGCGTGGACGTGCTGACCTCCCCGTTTTCTCCCACCCATCCGTTGGCATCCTTCGCTCGTACCCAGTCTTTACCCACATAACCTTTGACCTCCCCTATGGAGCACCTCTCACTGGCATCCAGCGCTAACATCCTCCTGAACATCTGCATACACATGGGTGTGAACCTTTTCCACTGAGACGGCACGGGGGTCTTTCCCGGCGCTCGGCGCCAGTCTGCAAACTCCTCGTAGAAATCGTCGCTGTCGTTGCAGCGCTCCCAAGGGAAGAAGCCCGTGAGGATACAGAATAGAAGAACAGCAAAGGCCCAGGTGTCTAAAGTGGGCTCCACTCTGAGCGGAGGGGCTTTCACCTCCTTCTGACCTTCCTCTAAGACCATGGCGCACAGCTCTGGAGCCATATACGGCAGCGTGCCTGATATGAAGCGGATGAAGGTTCCTTGTCTCTGGGTGAGGCCGAAGTCGGCCAGTTTGACCCGCCGGCAGTGTGTGTCCAGGAGCAGTATGTTCTCAGGCTTGATGTCCCGGTGGACCAGGCCACGCTGGTGGATGAACTCTAGAGCACAAGAGATCTGAACGGCACAGCGCTTCACTGCGCATTCAGGGATGCCCACCTGGAGAAGAATAGAAATACAGTACAGTTTATCAATAAACTTTTGTTAAACGTAGGTTGTATTGTACACAAAAATAGCAAAAAAAAAACTGTAATATTTAGTAACATAAAATAAATATGAAATATAAATGACATAAAATGACAAAAAACTAATAAAGTAAATCTATATTTTTATATTTATATATACACAGTCAAAAACAAAAAATATTCAGACACCATATATAATTTTTGATATATTTTTTAACAGTAGACACTATAGTTTCACATTTACACATATACACATTTATGTAGGTTAGGATAGCAAGGTGTCTGAATAGATAAAATTTTGGTTTGACTGTATATATATATATACATATACACACATTTTAAATAATATATATATATATATATATATTACATAATATACAAAGTAACTACATCTTTTACATTTAAAAACAATTGTGAACTGAAGTAATTTACTTCGGTAATATGTATATGAATAATAGTGTATAATGTATATAAATAACATTTCGCTAAGTCTGCTTATGTGCAGGTCCAAAACTTTGTCAAGACAACATCATTGCATTATAATTGAATATATGGTTGTGAGTTTAGGAGCCCCTGCTGTGTTATTGCCTCTTTAAATCTTTCCAATCCTTCAGTGCGTCTGGGTTAAGGTTTCACTGGATATGTTGAAGTAACAGAGACTCATGTTGTGACAGAGAAAAACAGCTGCTCTGCTCTTTTACTCACACATTATTACACCCTCCAAGATTTCCTAAGACATGTGAACATTACCGAAATATGTCAGGCGTACCTCCTGCTCCTTATTCAGTACGAAAAGCATGTGAACATGTTTAGCGTGCGGTCTGGATTCCAGATCCTTAAAGTCACTCCAGGCCTGCACTGGATCTGGAGCTTTATTAGTCACATACTGTGCAAGTGTTTACTTCAGCTATGGCACTGTGGACATAATAAAATAAACCTAAAATATACTTTTCTCACTAGTTTCTTTCATTTGTGTTCTAAGAATGCCCAACAGTAAATTATCCGATTAACGTCATTTCCACCATCTCAAATTATGGAATCACTCTGTGTTGGATGTTACGGTAGAGAAAATGACATTTAAAAATGTTTTTTAGTAAATTGACTCCATAGCTTATTCCATTGCTAATATTTTCTTAAAGTATCTGGAAGTTATGAAAGCCCTCAGAGGCCGTGCATTATTTTCTGAGACAAAAAAATCTGTACATCACCCATCATATCTCTAGTCCGCAATGCATTTAATCAGCATCTGTCAGACATCATTCTATAAGCATGCAGACATAAAATATACCACATCTGGAAACACATAGTGTCTGTGAGGATAAAATTGTAACCTTCTCAAGTGTCGGACATTGATTTGGAAGCTATCTGGCAATGACAGACATAGAGCAAGTCAGTATGTCTGGCTATATATAGATATGCAAAAAGTACAAAAATATTATTTATTTCTGTATATTTATATATATAGTGTGTGTGAAAGTGCTTTTATTACCTCCAAACCAAGAAAATGATCACAACAGATTAAGACAACAAAAAAATCTTGACTTATGTGGGCTTCAGTATTAAATATACACAAATAAATAATATTTTTGTACTTTTTGCATCATTTGACATAATTACAGATTTATTGGAAATGATGCACAATTTAATATTGACATGAGATATTGATCTTGATTTTACTGTAATATTTACACTAATTGTGGCATCATTTCCACCATGATCAACATCTTGTAATTTGTGTAAAAAAGTACATATTTTTTTAAAAGCTCTTAAATTGACATTTAATGTATTTAATTAAACATTTAATAATAATTATGTTATGATGAATTGTTATAGTTAAAGACTGAATGTCCGGGACAAAGGACAAATTTATATATAAAATGCAATTGAAAAGTAGTAAAAATGATGGCGGCATGGTAAAAAGTTTCCAAATCAGTTTTAATGCTTGTAAGTTTTAAAGTGCCCATGGTTGAAGAAAGACCCATGCGTCTGTGAATTGGCAGTTATAGCATTACTAGTGCCTATGAATAAAGGGAAAGATCTGCCGATGTGAGCACCCACCCGTGGCTGGATGATGGCGAACAGGTCCCGTCCTGTGACGAGCTCCTGGGCGAATCCGTAGTGCTCGTTGGACTGGAAGGCGATTCCAAACAAGCCCACGATGCAGGGGTGGCAAGACAGGTGCAAGGAGATGCAGTATTCTCTCAGGAAGCCCTGCAGTTTGGTCGAGGCTTTGGGCAGCACTTTGAGAGCCATTGGAGTCCCTGTGACAGTGAAAAATACACAAGATCAGAGGACTTTTGGCCTTCATAGATGGTGCTCTATGAGACATAAAATGATGACGTATAGTCTTAAGTTTGTAGTGGAAAGATTTTCACAGCTGTTATGATGTCTTGGCATTAAGATCTGTGGGAGTGTAAAAGAGGAGATAGTGTTTCATTTAAATAGCATTAAATAATTCCTGCACTGCTCAAAGTGTTCTCTATAACAGAAGTGTGCATGCAGTAACTCTATCAAACTGTAATACTATAGTACTTTGATACACATCATGGCATGGTGCTGAATGATTCCCATGTTCATGTAGCAATAAAGAATAGCCAAGCCAAGCCCAAAATGGCACTTTCACTTCAACACTTTCGTTGTCTTAACCACAAATTATTGGTCAGGAAATTGCTTAATTAGTATAATAATGAAAAGTATTGTATGCTTTTGGTAGGCCTACATAAATGAACTAGCTGTTATATAATGTTTTTTGTCTATAAAATCAGTTTATCAGATAAAATCAGATAAACTGATTTTATAAAAGTCCAAAATATTCTACTTTAGGTTATTTTAGTAAATGAAACAGAAGGGTTTTTCCACCGGTAACATTTCAAATAGTACGCCTGCCATGACCTCGGCATGTTCAATTCAGTGAGTGGTGTCCAGTTAGTTACCATCTTGAGAGTAAAAACAATTATTATGTGTTTTCAGAAGCTTTATGCCGAATGTCACATGATCAAACAGGTCTCACGCTTTATGCCGAACGTCACATGATCAAACAGGTCTCATGTTTTATGCCAAACGTCACATGATCAAACAGGTCTCACGCTTTATGCCGAACGTCACATGATCAAACAGGTCTCATGCATCTGCTTGTGGGAGAAAGTGTTAACGGCAGTACTAACTGACGCCAATGTCTATGGACTTTTAAGCTAATCCGCTAAGCTAGTTCTCTTTTTTTATAGTTTTTATTTGATTTAAATATCTAAATGTTAGTGATTAAAAACAAAACAAAAAAACTTAGATATCAATTTGCATATACAATGGAGATCAGATATGATCATCTTTGCTTGCTCCAGTTAGATTTTGCTGTATTTGGCCGAGTGGTCGTTTGGATGGCTCGCTAATGTGTCAGATTTCTCTAATAATAAGTTTGACCAGAGTTCGTGTGGGGAAAATAATTTATTGAAAGTTTGTAGTGTAGCAGTTCTTCAGCAGCGATGTTAGCATCTCGTCTTTCAAAAATCTTAACCCAAAGTTCTGTCTGTGGGGCAGAAGTTTCTAACAGAGACTCAATACACAAGATTTGTGTGGGCCGTCCGGCCTACACCTATCAGTTCCTATGGGCCATTTGGTTCACACCTTTACAGACACAGTTTCAGTTGATTGCATCTTGAGGCACAGTAACAATGTAAATGCATCTGACTTAAGTCAACTGAAATACACATAATCTTTCACTCCTTTGGCAGTATCTTGAAAAAAAAACAGCTCTATCTGTATTCGATGAAGCACAAAAGACCTGAACCGGAAGCGATGCGAACTGTATTACAGAATACGGACGTTTTTTTTGTAGTGCATAACCCCATTGCGGTTTCATTTTATTTCATTTCTGCATTTGTCCGGACTCACGTTCTCAAACTGTTTTCGTCTTGTGTCGTATATTGTGTAAGTGAGTGTAATAATTTGTGAGCTGGAAAATTTACAGTCAGTAAAATAAATCCATTCAGGGTGATACAAGACCCCAAATGGGTTAGGTAAAAACCCTAGATTGCACTTTTTAATGCAGGGATCAGGTATGTATTGTTTAAAAAAAAATCACAGAACTTACTGAACTGTTAAAAAGCACAGTGAGTGACTTAATACTGTAAGAATAAAGGCTCAATAGCGTACCTTTACAGCGGTGGGTGACCAGCAGCACATGGCCATACTTGCCACGGCCAATTTCTTTAATGATGTTGAAATGTTCTTTAATCTCGAGCTGACATAAGCTCTGAGATGTCAACTCCATCAGCTCGTCTATCAGACTGCTGCCCTCCTCCACTGAGCCCAGTTCAATCATTGCACTGCCTGTCCCGGGAAATAAAAGACAACCAAAGAATATTTAGCACACTGAGTGTGTAAACGTTAACGACATAATGCCTTTCAATAGAAACTGTGCCCAGCTGTGCATTTGTCTATGTAGGCTATATGATTATTATTCAAAATATATTATTAATATTATTACGTATAACACACATATATATATATATAATATTAAAATAAAAACGTTCAAAATCACAAAAAAGTGTGGCTTAACTAACATACAGTAAACAATTTTCGGTAACGCTTTAGATTACAGCCCGGAAAGTACTGGGTAATTAAAGCAATTTTACAGCGTAACCTTCGGTAATTATAGTGTACCTATAACGTACTTACAATATAAGTATAAGGGAACAATATTTTAAGTTTGGGGAATGAAGGGGTAACAACCAGGAGAATTAAAAAATTATTAATATTGTGAGTATTATAGAACTAAGGGGTACTTATTCTACTATTATGATATAACAATCTCACATTTGTGATCAATTTAGCAAGAACATACACTGCGTACCGTTTTGAAATAATGGTGAACCAGTACATACTGTATAAGCTTTATAAATAGATATAATAGATATGTACCCTGTAATTTTTAAAATGTAATCTTTTTAACAAAAGTGCACTGAAAACGAAAACTATTGCAACTTTTGCTTAAATATTGGGGAAAGATACTCTTGTTTCATGTAGTGGTGCTTGTTACCCTCTTGTTTCATGTAGTTACTGGGTAAGTGACATTGCGGGCTGTAAATTAAAGTGGTTCTTGTTACCCTCTTGTTCAATGTAGTTACAGGGTAACAATAAAAATGCAAACACACAATCTTATATCACTGACTGCTCGGTTTTTAACAAAAAGGAAACGTTCAAATCGCTCAAAACAGACGCGATAGCTGATTCGAACGAGTGATGTTCGACGGCGGCATCCATCTTTGTAATGTAGGCTACAAAATCTGCTTCAAAATGCCAGCGCTGTCGTCATCGTGTAAAGCCCGCCCCAACGTTTCTGATTGGTGCCTCGATTTCGACGGATTGGAAACGGGCTTGAATGAGCTCTTTGCCAGACTAACTTTCAGAGCAAATCTAAATTTGCCGGAAGTGGGTTTTCCCAGGCTACTAAAACTGTGAATTACATCACAGAAAGGACCCCTGTAGACCCTGTGTACCAATTTCAGCAGACCACTTAATAAATATAAAGTTTTTCCTTTACACCATCTTGGAGAAAATTATTTTTCACCAAACAGGAATTTTAAATAATAAATAAAAAATAATAGAAATGTTCATCAAAAACTGATTCTTAGCTTTTGGAACTCTTGTATTGACTTTGCAATAGCGGAGTGTTTCTGTTTGTCCTCGTCACTCATCACTGAACAATCAACACATTCCTCCTCAGCTTCACAAACTCTCACTACATACATTCCTGCTCTTGTTAAGCTCCTGTGCTCTCTGTACTCTGATACTCTACAAAACACGTGTGCAAGACCTGCCGCATCAGGAATATAAACACAGAATGTAATGTGGTTATGTGTGGTATGTGTGATCATCGTTTATGAGCTCTTCCTTCCGTTTAGGTTGTTGTAAATGACACTGCATGCTATTACAATGAACAGGAAAAAAATTAAATAAAAACATGATTCCATGTATGATGCTGTTAATAACTTTACTTAAAGTAAATATTTATAAATGTGCATGTAATTACTTTATTAATGTACATGTGAATTACATCACACAATGTGTGTGTAATCTTCTTTGTTGTTGCAGAAATCCTTTTAGAATTTATTCAGCTTTTCAAAATCAACCCTACACTGAAAAAATCGTAACCGTGAAACTTGAAACATCTAAATCAACCGGTTTTAATCAAGTCAAAAATAGTATTTAACATCACTGAATCCACGTGAATAAATTGATTTATACCCACAAACTAATTTGAATGCATTAAATCAGGAAGAAAAAGTATTTAAGGTAACAATTGCATGTCACCACTTTTACTGTGTATTTAATCTGACCAAAATTGAGTTTTCCATCAATATCAACATAGCAGTCTTCAACTGCATTGGCAATTTTAAGAAACATTTAAACCCACAATTATATACAAATCACTCCAATGCAAAAATTTGTAAATTAAGACTAGCACAATAACACAGTGTCTATATGCAATGCATGCACAATAATGCACAGGATTTAACTTAAGACAAATCTGCCATTGTTAGCTGTGTGTGTGTCTCTCTCTCTCTGCCCTTCTCTCACCTCTCTGCAGCTGTGCAAAGGATCAGGGCGCCCAGACGCAGCAATAGCAGTGCTGCAGCCGAAGTGACTGAGGATTCCTGTTCTAACAAGGGCTTTGAGCTCCTGCAACGCTTTATATGGAAGAAGCACCCACTCTGGGAAGAGTGACACTTCTCTGGGTCTGACTCCACCCATGTTCACTGACATATATCAGACACAGAAGGCTGAGATGTCATATCATATGTCCCCAGATATGTTTATGCATATTCAGAAGCACGCACAAAAACAGTTTATCTGTCTGAGCAATGGTGACTGTCTTTTGCCTACTCTCACAACATCATCAGATTCTATTTTTATCTCCATTCATCAGTTCTTTCATCAAAGAGACAGTGTTATTTTATAAGAACAACATGACAAAACCAAAAAGAATTTCTTGTTTAGCAAAAGGGTTTCAATAGACAGAAATACTTGTAAATAAAATATATAGGCCTATTCATAAAAAGGATTTTAATCAAATCCCTCATAACAGAATCTCTATAAAATAATTTAAATATTGTTCATTTGACTAATTATTTTCTATAATTATCAGTATATATAAGTTATATTCAATAATTTATACTTTAATTATATAAATTGAATTTCAGATGACTTATCTTAAGAAATTTAGGGATTTTTAAAACAATTTCTTCAAGGGCTTGAACATGTCAATATTTTTTTTCCGGTAACACTTTATTCTAAGCCAAGGTGAAGTAGATATACATTACTTCATGTAGTTATAGTAATAACAGTAAATTATGCATAATTACAATTAACTAACCACCCTAAACCTAACCGTAACTCTCTAGTAAGTGCATGTAGTTAATTGATATTACTAAGTATTTATTTCAGTAAGTACAAAAAAGTAAAACTTTTTTGTTTTAAAGTGATCCTGGAAACTTTTTAGTATATTTTAGTATAGTATATTTCCTTCTTTATATTTGATTGAATTACAGAAACTTAGGGGTTTGTTTTCATCTTCATTTTATGAATTAAAGTGGCTATATCAAAGTCCCTCCTTTGTATTTCTTTAGTCTTTGGCTATATTTAATTCAGAAATCCTTGTTATTAGCGACACCGGTGGCCGTTAAGTGAACTGCAGCCAGCAACTAACTGCTGCCCCAATATACTTACTTAGTTACTTACCACAATGTTCTTTTTCGTTCATCGCTTTTAGAGGTAAAAATAAGTTGGAAATACCTTTGCAGTGATATACTTTTAAGGAACATATCGACGCTGTCCACGAGAGTGACGTTTATGATTAACGTTATGTCATTATGTGTTGCGCGCTTTCCTCTCAATAACAAAATAAATAAACAACAAAAAGGACAGCGAGAAAGCAGCAGTTAAGAAAGCATCTGATCAGGTCTGCAATTCCCCCGCATCATGTCGACAGATGAGGTAATTCAAATTACTCTGTTATGATAGTTTGAGTAGCCTATAATGCCAATAGATTATATAGATCTCACTGTGAGACTATAGTTTGAATGATTCCCTTTTCTTTGCATGACACACTGACATTTCTGTACAAAATGGTTCTTTCGGCATTATTCTAAACTTTTAAGAAGAGAGGCTCTCGGGAGCGCGCGTTATCGTCACATCCTTTTTCCTGGCAAAATGTCCGTCACATAAAAATCAAGGGGGTAATCCATCGACCGGAAGTTGAAGCCGGCCGGGGGCCGCCATGTTGTAGCAGAACTTCACTTGCGTTAGCATTTCCATTGACTCCCATTCATTTTGGCATCACTTTGACAGCGAATAACTTTTCATCTGAGGCGTTTAAAGACTCCATTTGTCCATTATTTATTTCTAAAGAAACACGACAATGTATAAAGTGCTCCATTACCTTCTATGTTACATTATGGCCCCGTAGAAACAGATTTAGTAAAAATAGGCTAACGATTGCGTCATAACCACTCGACTCTCTGTCGCGCTGTACAGAAATTACCGTACAGACAGGAGGAGAAGCTCGCAGGCAATCGGGGGGACGTCCCGTCAAGGGAGAAGCCCATAGATAATGAGTCCATAAAAGCAACGGAATTCTTACTCCTGCTCACTCACGCCAAAGAACTCTTTGCTCAAGTTCCCCGTCTCTGCAAGATTAACGTTGGCAATTTTCACGCACAGCTACTAGAAGATTAACGTCTGTCAGACAGGTTGCTCACGTCATCAAGCTTAGTTTGAGTCGGTTTGAGTCTGCGCGTCAGGAACGGAAGTGCTCAGAAATCGCTAAAAATGGGCTTCAACTGTCTCAACTGAGTTCCAATGAGATGGCTCTGTCCACTTCTTATACTGTCTATGATAAAAATCAGTCTACAGGCTTTCATAGACAAACTAGAAATTGGGGGAAGGTTTTGTTTTTTGAAGTTTCGTTCACACATTGGCAATAAAAAGCCATTAATAAATGAGAATTCCCTTAAAAACAGCTCGTAAACACTTTATCACATCATTTATGCAGGAAAGTAGCCTATATTATGCAATCATTTAAGACATTTACTCATCAGAACCTTTTTGGCATAAGTTAAAGTGTTCTTTAATATTGAGTCAAGAACACAAGGGATCTATTTAGAACCCATTTGATCCTTTTTCCCCCTCTTTTTTCTTCTTTTTTAAATGATGTCATGGTGGTTGAGATCTCTTAGACACTGGGATAGCATTAAGGGCACCAGTGTTTTTTCCTGGGAGGCCATCGGGAATGGAATTACAGTTCAGTGGACAGACGGTCAGCCAAACCCTGCTGCTGCATATTTCATATTATCCAAAATATGCACCACGCGCAACATGCTACTCGTCTTCAGTGACCTAGAATGTGCTTAGCAAATTAAGAAGAAAAACAAAAGCAGGGCACAAAACTACTATAATGGTTTCAGCGAGATAATCTTACTTCATCACCACAGGAACGCTCATTTGGGGTGAAAATCACTGACTGGCTTTGACAGTGATCTCACTTTAGAATGATTTTCTTTCCCACCGGTGTGAATAACGTGAGCGGATCATGGGTTTCTTACCACCTGCTGTCACAGAATAGATTCGTTTGAACACTATAATCATATTACATATCAAGTTCTAGACTGTACGCCACTGTGTTTTATGTGACTCATTTGGCATTTGCACTCTCATTTATATTGTAAATTACACCAGCATATAGTGGAGAAAACGAATTCATCAAATGCAGTTCATTTAAAGAAGCACAGATGCTTTCGTTGTATTAGCCTACAAGAAATTAAAAGAATGTTCTGGGTTTTATGCAAGTTACGATCCTTCAACAGCACTTGTGGCATAACGTTGATTAAATATTATTTTGACTTGTCCCTTATTTTCAGAAAAAGAAAAAAGAACGAGGCACTTATGAATATAAGTAAATGGGCAATATAATTTTCAAGAATGTTAAGCTTATTTATAAATTTAATTATTTTTCAAATTAATTATTTAATTAATTTATAAAAGCTTCCATTAATTCTTCTGGCAAAAATGTTATCTATAACTACACAAAAAAAAAATTATTAAGCGAGTTTTTGCAAAAATCATGTTAACAACACATATATTGTTGAGTGAGTATTTTAACATACGTTTATGGATTGGCCCCATTAGTTAGGACATTTTTTGAAAATTATTTTTTGTATTACTCAACAATATGCCCTAAATGTTGTTGATTGTGCTTAACATCTACTGTTACACTTAAATAACCTATGTAAGTAGCCTAGTAACTAGTGACTTTATTTTATAATCTCAGTGCTTGAAACAGACAGGAGCACAAAAATGCACAACTGACATCATGTTTCATCTTAAAACCAGTGAAAGTGTATCTGTTTTTCAATCTGTGACCAGTTGTGTGTGGTCGGCCTGGGGTCTTTGTAGGGCAGTGAGTAGGTTAGGACTAGAAAAGCAAAGGGTTTATTTTAGAGGAGATGTGTTTTGAGCCAGAAACGATGTAGAAGGTGCAGACAGCTTCGTAAGATATCGTTTCAGATCTACATGCCAACCACTCTGCTGTGTGTGTGTGTGTGTGTGTGTCTGTCCGTCTGTCCTCTCCTCTGATGAATTAGGGGGCAGTAGGTCTCTGTGGAGCACACTTTTAGAAGCGGTGGATTCAATAGGTGCTATTCTTACAGGCTAATTACTCTCCCTGGCAAACGTTCTTTGATACAGAGCTTAGACTGGATTTTGAGTTGGACTGTAGAGCACGGTGAAGACGGATGAATATGACTCTAATGAACGAGGTGCTTTCATGCCATTCAGATATGTGCCAAGTGGCCTTCACCTTTTGAACATTTACATGTACATTACAAGAATTTTCTTTTTATCAAGAACCATATTTTGCCATAGGTGTTACAAACTGCTCAGAGACTTCAAAATGCAGTTTTACTGGGACAATCCAGAATCATAATCCATATAAAGGTCAAACACATGGGCAAACCATACAAGTAGAGAAATAAAACACAAAGGAAACAAGGATAACGCTCAAAAATGCCATGCTACAACATTAAAGACTCCGCATAAAATGAGTGAAAATACAGGGCTTAGTAGGGTTGCCAACTTCCGAAAAGAAAAATGCGGGACATATTACTATATTTTGGCGATTTCGGGTTTGTTGACGGGGGGGATCTCGCAGGCAAGGTCTCTCGCTCTCTCCCTCTCTCTCCGCGCTACACGGTTTGGCGCTGACGCACATACAGTAGGCTATGTTCTGTCTCGCATGCGCAGCTCTAGATTCTAGGAGATTTGAACTAATTTACGTGTCGTGTTGCTGTTGTATCAGTCAGATCTGCGCAGCACTCAATAATCGGGACAAGAGAGGTCCCGATCGGGACAAGAGAGGTCCCGATCGGGACAAATAAATTAGGCCCAAAAATCGGGACGTCCCGGCTAATTCGGGACAGTTGGCAACCCTAGGGCTTAGCCTATATAGGCCCTGTCCCAAATGGCACACTCTGGACTTGTGGACTTCCTCAGAGTCCACACTTCGGTGACGTCATGTAGTGCAGACCTATAGGGCCCTTAGCGCGAGTCCGCGAGGGGCCGAGGGCGCATTGAGAGGTATTTTTGGGACAGACTTGATCGTCACGCCGGAAACAGGAAGACGGTCTGGTTGTTGTTAT